AGGCCCGATAATCAAGAACATTAAATCAGAAGAAGGGTTTGCTCAATTGTGACCAACTTGTGCCACCACTGCTCATCGAACTACTTCATCCGAGCGGCAAAGCCGAACGAGCGATCCGAGAATTGTCCGTGGCCTGCCCACAGTGCGCAAAGAACGATACACACCCGCACGCACACACACACACACACACTCAACGGTCAAAAAAATCAGCGGTTTCGGGCTTAAGGCGTCGTGATGTGCTCCTGTCCAAACGATATCAGAAAGGCTCCAGGGCAAAAGCCATTTAGAAAGCAATCGTGCTCCGTTATAATAACGGCGACAGTACTGGCAGTAATGTCAAACGACAAGAAACACCCAAGCACTTGTTGAAAACGTGAGAACCTTATTAAAGACTGAAGCCAGTCAAAAACCTGCACCACTGCATCGGCACACCGGCTTGTGGCATGCAGAATGCTGCAGCACATAGAAGCAGAAAGGCACATTGACACAGTGCGCAGAATACAGTACTTTCAGTGCTCAACGTATCGTGAGGCTAAGACTGCAAAGGTATGGGGCTCCGATCATTTCAGGCCAGCTCTGTTGACGAACTTCACTGACTTAGATTCCTGATACAAACCTATTAAACCCATCACCCAAAATCCCGAGAGGGCCCTCAACCCTGAATCTCTCAGGCACCGACTTTCGTCGCCGACCAACAGCTGCGTCAGCACCACCCCCATCGCCCTCAGTGGCTGCACCATCGCCTCCTTGAGACATACGGCGTACGGCGTTCAGTGTACAAGGCTTAAGGCATTCATCGTCCGCGTCGGCTTCTGTCTTGGATCCCCGCTTCTTTCTCAGTCTCTACATCTCTCGCTCTTTCTCTATTGGCAGTTGGAGGATCCCGTTACCGCCCTCCGCTCTTCCTTGCCCTCCACGGCCCTTCACTCTATCCCTCCCTGCCTAGACCCAAAAACCCTAGCACCCGAATACACTAGACCCTCAAACCCTAAAAAGCTGAACAAGTTTATTAAGCCATATCACCAGTAAACCTCGAACCCCCAAGACATCCCCAAACCCTAAACGCCAAACCATCCAAAACCATAACCTCTCGCACACAAAGCGATCCTCCCTCTGCTGCCCCCCGGCGCTTTCGAAGCGCTGAGGTCAGCATGGCAGACGTTTTCTGGTCTCGAAGGAATGTAGGGGCCTCAATAACTAGAACCGGGGTTGTTAAACATTCTATACCACAAGTACATGGGGACTGTAAGGGATATGACTACTACATCATCATGCTGTCGAGTCCATAGAAAGAGGAAACCCCGTTTCATGCCCGTATCTGATGCAGGGTCAGGGTTCTGAAGGTGATCAGGCCGTAATGATCATGGCGAGGGTGTGCTTCGAACTGGCAAAGGGACTCCATCGCAAACTCCGCCGCTCACAGTTTTTTTTTATGGCAGTGTTGCACATGTATGGCCTTGGACCACAATTCGGCTTGGGATGGCGACTGCAATCTCGAAGCTGGATACTTCAGCCGTGAATCCTTTTAGGGTGTAGCATTCGGGATTCTCGATTTCAGACCACCCCACATGTGGCTGCAATATAGATGCTGTTGGAAAGCTTGTCATCCAACGAGGAGGATTGGCTATTGAGATTGAGACCTGGCCGTTTTTTCCCTAAACCTCCTGGGCCTCAGAGCCCGAAGCAGCAACCAAAACCTGAAGCTACCTTCGCTTTGTTGCTAGCTGGAGAACCAGCCCGCGTCTGCCCATGTCGTGAAGCCTTAGGAAAGGTCGCAAGCTCAACTCGAAACCACTTAGAAAAAGGCCGGTATCTGTCCTGCAACCCCTCGTTCGGTGTGCAATAGCCTTCAAAACGAAGTCGTCAGAGTGGCGGGCAAATAGAAAAGCTCGAGGGGACTCAGGCAGTTCTCTAAGAGCTCTGTCTAAGAGCAATGCCACTGGGCTTTCTTCTGGACTCAGGCTCCCGCGCCATGAAGTGTCCACGGAAGTCCTCGCCCCTAAACCCTCGACCCTAGAGCCCTAGAATTAGCACTACAGGAGTTTCAACCTGAAGCCCTGGACTCCTCCGAACCCTGGCCCCGTGCGGCCTTTACCGAGAGCGCTGATGGCGGCGTTCAGGGTCACCTGCGTGGGATCCTGACAGCATTTCTTGGGCAGAGGGTTGAAAACCCTGGCACCGGCTTAGGACGCATGAGTGAGAGTTAGCTTGAAGGTTAGTCTGGGCTTAACAGGCTGTTGACTGTTGGCTATGTGGAAGGAACATCGCATCCCAGGCACAAGACACCCAGAAGCCGGAAGCAGGGGGCTGAGCACCAAGCCGTAACTTACTGACTGAGACAAATATTAAACACAAAGTTGCTAGCCCTCAAGGCAAGAGGGAAACCCTCAGGAACAGCAAAAACAAGACGCATGCTTGTTTCCGCCAACATCTCATATGCAGCTTTAGCGTCTGGGTTTTAGGTCTGACCAACGCTGATTTACCCTACCGTCTAGAATCGCGGACCAAGCCGGCAAACAGCGAGCTGCCTGCCCGGAGCCCTGCGCGACTGCCCAGGGTGTGGGGTGCGGCGTGGGTTTCTTGAAAAATGATGCGACCATAGATCCTAACCAAAACGGGAACGGCTTTGGAGCGTAGATATGGCGAACAACTCCCACCACGCCGAAACGCCGCACCTCCACCACACAAAAGATGTACGACGGTGTTATCATGTACAAACATACATACTCAAACCCTGAAGCGCTCAAAGTGTGAAGGCAAACAACTCCCAAACTGGAGAATTTGCAGCTTCTGGACTCCAAACCAACTGAACACCCTGCACCTGAGCCCCTGAACTCCCGAACCCGCCAGACCCTAAAAACCCTCAAGCTCCCAGCCCATTCCTCGCGGCGTGTACCCAAGATTGCCAAGAGCTCAGAAGCCTCGAAGGCAGAAAGTCTTGCGTGCGGTGCTTTAGTTTATTGGACTTCCTAGGGGCTTACAGCTTTTGAAGGGCCTTGATGCTTTAGGGGTGGTAGATTTGAGGGCTTCAGAGCTGAAGGTTTCCTGCCTGGGGTTTCTGGTTTCAGCTTCCTGGCCTCAGGCTTCAAAAAGCGCGGAGTCCTCAGTTCAGTGGTGCTCACGAGCCAACAACGAAAACCATGCGAAGCACGGTCTACGCCCGGAATTTGGTTGGTGTACACAGGTCTCAAACTTTGTGTGAATGGCGACATCTGTAATGAACCTCTGCTGTATGCGAGTGGCTAGCTCGCGGGTGTGGATCAGAACTCGGGACTACACGGAGAAAGCACCCGCGAACAACTGACACAACAACTTTCAACACGAACGTTACGGTCTTGTCTCCATCTTCTGCAGATTTTATCGAGAAAACGTGTTGTGTGTGCGCTTGTTTCCGCCCTAGTAAACAAATGCCTGGTCATCACAAGGCACTCTCAAACCATTAAAACAAGAACATCTTCTGAAACCGACTCTTAACGCAACAGCAGCAGCAATAATAAGAAGGAGACTAATAATTAACAAGCAGAAGATCAATGTAGCGAAGAAAGCAGCCGCCTAAAAAGCTGTGCCCCAAACTGGAATCCGAACCAGCCAGCAGCCTGGCATTGCAGCTTATATGCATTGACAGAGTGAAAAAGCAGACAAACCTGAATCCGAAGCTCGAGACCCAGACTAACGAAAGAGATTAGCGTCATATTCCAGGCCTGCACCCATGCATCGTTGCAGGAGCTGATGCCTCGATGACAACTCACCGGAGTGAATTTTCGGAGCTGTTTTTGGAGGGCCTATTTGGACCTAGGGGGAGCTGTTTGCAACTTAGGCTTTCGGCTTTGGTGCATAGCGGAATTGGTGCTTTGACTCGCTCCGAGGTGGATTCGATGACTCACTTATGAGGTCTTGCTTTGGTGATCATCGGAGTATCCCAGTCAGGTACAGCACACGACATGTTTGAAAGACCAATAGGCCCCTAGATACCAGCAGGCCCTAGTGACAGGCCCTAGTGGGGTGTCGTGCGGGTGGCAAGTGTGGGTCCACAGGCGAAAGTAAGCGCGCGATCTGTGGCATTTCACGCCCGGGTGTGCGACATTCCATGACACGCACACACACACACACAAAGCTACGGCGAGATGCAGGTGCTGCAGGTGATCACGCTCACAGGAAGCTTCTTGGCCTGGGACAGTCGGTGCAGCTGGGTGGATACAGGCAAAGGCTTTACATTTGGGGCTCAAGGTCCGGGGTATTCGGATGTAGGGCCTCAATAGGGTTCGAGGTGTTTAGGTTGGCGGTTATAGGGCTTGAGGGTCCAGGGCTGGAAGAGTAGGGCTTAGGCTAGGAGGAAAATTGAAGTTGTTTTTTCTTAAACTGCGTTGCAGTCAGACCCTCAGTATACACTTCAAATTAGGAAAGTTGAACCTACGTGCAAACGCAGGCGAGCACGGAAAAGCTTGTCTTCGAAGCTTCAAGGCTTGAGACTTGAGACACAGGCCCGAGATCCAATCGAGATCGGCAGATTTTTCGTCAAGCTGCTTCCGTTGCCAAGATGCCGCTTGTCGAGCACTGTTCGATCTTTTCTTCTGCTGATATTCTTAACTCTCAACCATATTCTCACCATATCAGCCATTGGAGCACAGAAGTCGCTGTGAAGTCTTTTGGAACTTCTGGTTCGAAAACGAAAGCATTCTATGGCGTGGGCTTGAGGGTTTTGACCACGGACCTTGGCCCAAGACCTTAAACCTTAAAACGAAGCGCAAGCCCCATAACCTCTGAACTGTAAACCCTTTGAAGCCCTTTTGCCACAGCTGAAGCCCCTCCCTTCGACTCACGCAGACCTGAGGGCTTTTGCTAATTGAGGACGAAGCTCCTTGTATCTGTAATGAATCCCGAAAGGAAAAGTCTTCTCAATGCCCTGCTCAGATAGCAATGCACCCCAAGTCCTAACAAAGGCCCAATACCCAAAGTACAAAAGTTCAAACCCGTATATACTCTGTCTCGCATCCAGCCGCCTGAACCTGGGCAAAGTAGGCCAGCGACACTGGCCAAGCGCCTTGCCACCCAAAGGCCCGCGAGACAACAAAGCGGCTTAGGGTGTTAGGTAGGGGCCTTAGTACTTGGAGTGGAGTTTGCGGATCCCTGTGTAAGGCCCCATAACGAGAAAGCAATAATTACACAGAGCCGAAATATCAGGGTTTGGGCATCCTCAGCCCAAATCCCTTCGATCGTAAAACTGGATCCCAAGATTCAGGGTTTGATGCCCGGATAAACCACAAGCTGTGCCGAAAACTCCACCAAAGAGCAGGCAGGACTTCTCGAGCCCTTAACAAAGCAGCCAGAGCAAGAAAGCCCAACCTGAAGCCTTCCGTAACGAACTTGAGGCATCAAAAGCCGAAAATCCGGGACCTCTCGGACCCGGACCCAAGGAAAGAAGTCCATTGACAGAGCTCTTGGGTTGCGGGGGGAATTTGTACCCGCAACTGTCTTGGTAGTCTTAAAGGTTTGGGTGTGGATCTAGGATAAATCTCGAAGGGCTGAACTTAGGACCAATGTAGATCTTTGCTGTTAGAGGACAGCCGTCCAATATGCGAAAAGGCACTTCAACCAAATAGAAATAAATTACAAGCTGGAAACGCACCCCAAAAGAAGCCCTGAACCCTGATCCATCGGTCGAGCCTCCTGCCACGTAAGGACAAGAGGTTTCGAACCTATGCCATCAGGCAACTCTCCAACAAATCAAGTTCGCTCCGGGTTCCAGATGAGCGAGAGCCCCAAAACCAAGCAGAAGTCCTAAACTGCAAGCACTAAGCCGGAGTCCAAGAATGAGCTCTAACCAATCAACCCCTACGCCTCAAACCCCAGGACCTCCTGACGGCCCCGAGGCCGAAGCCCCAAGGCCCCGCGAGCCGTGCCCGAAGCCTTGCCTCGATCCGCAGCAGCCATGGCCGCATTGTAGGAAAATCCATCACTGGAAGCCTGGGCCCCGGCGTGCTCATTGAGGGGATGCAAGGGTCCTACAAGGACTATATAAGGGGTCTATGAGTCTATGAGGGATGTACAAGGTTCTGGAACGCTCGTCAGAAGGTCTTCATAAGCATGAAGCCGCTTCCGCTTCTCTTGTTTCAGGTTCGGCTTCACTTGAAGATGTACCACTTTATTGAACGACAGACAAGATTTCAACATAGCAGTTATGACTGTCAAGCAGACACACAACAAACTTCTAAGTCTTGCTGATAGCTGTGGCTTCACTTTTCGAACGAGACGGTTTTGCCAAATTCGAAAGGTCTCTGCGGGAATGTGTGCGCTTGTTTTGGGGTTTGAAGGCTACCGGTTCTTTCGGCTTCTGGGTTTGGTGCTTCGAACTAAATGTCTTAGCATGTGGAGCTTCGGCGATAGATCGATGATCAAGCAAGGACGAAGAGAGCATGGCATCCTCACATGGCGAATGTTCTAAAGTAGGTTTCGATGAACCCTATTTGCGAATTTCCTCCAGGCCCACATTACAACCTAACTCATGGCTGGATATTGCCGACCCCCTGCCTCCACGGATCAATAGAGTTTCAAGCTCAAGTTCAGGGAATTTGGGGAAATCTCCTCATTGTTCAATTCGCTCCAGGCGTTGGGTACGTTTTCGACAGCCGTGGCTGAGAAAACAAATCACCGGAGCAGCTGCAAACAATGTGCAAGCTTTCCCGGGATAAAGTGGCTTTTGAAGTGTTCCGTGGTGAAAGCCTAATGGCGCAGTGGATTGTAGCAAGGATCCAACAATTGACCGCAATCTCTAAAAAACCTCACAGTGTATGCATGTGAGCCGAAGCTCTCCATTCGGAAGCGTCACTTGCATCAGTTGCTATCCGTTCGATTTATTGACGCTTTTCTCTTGATTCATACTAAACCGTAAATCCCCGAACCCTAGCGATTCAACTGTAGCCGTTTCCTGGTGCAGTGCCATTGAGACGCATGAGACGCACTCCGAACACTCTCCCAAGCTTGACGATTCAACCTTTTGTGCTTTTCGGCTAGAACACGTGTTTGAACCCGTTTAATGTGGGCCCTTAGAGGTTTGTTTTGAACTTGTAGTGTGCCTTTCCCCTCGCCGAAGCAAGGCAAAGGCGCCAGAAAGGATCAGTCGACAACCTCCAGAGAAATGCTTTAGGGTCTGGGGATTACTTTCTTGTACATCAGGGCTTAACGTTTAGAAGCCCTTGGGGACGAAACGACGACCGAGGGAGAAACTAGAAGCCATTGCATGTCATACTCAGAACTTTATCTTCAGATCTGGACCCGAAATGTAGCCAGAACCGTAGAAGCACCTCCTGACTCTCTGAAGGCTTGTAAGACTCTATCTATTTTGTCAAAGGCGGAATGACGGCCAAAACGACAGACCACTGGAAATTCTAGAGCCTGGGATCCGGTACCGAGGCCCGCTCGAAGCCTACATTACATGTCAAGCGAATGCTGGGCACGATGCTTCCTTGCTGCAAGCACAGAGGGACAGCTGCCACTGGCGACCTCCCGTAGAGGTTGAACTGCTTGGAAACTTGATGGCTAAGGGCTGCAATCGGACTATCAAGTACTGGGTGCAGTGTAGTTGGCTTGGAGGTTTCATGGTGATGTATACGACCATTTCGGGCATGTTCTAGGATAGTTAGGTTCACTCAGCAGGGCGAGAAAACGGTCCTAATCAATGGGACTCAGATACGAAACTGTACACCGCCCTATATACAGCCCTACAGCCATGCAAATTGCATCCTCACTGCAATAGGGTGTGTGCCAACTCTGTGAGGGCTGGCATCACCCAATCGCAAAAGCACCCCCGCCCCCGCTCTCTGTAAATCAGGATACCCTGTCCATGGTGAGATTTCAACCCAACATCCACGCAGTAATGATGAGCAGAAGGATTCCGCAACAACCATCATTGAGAACAGCCTCATGTTTGTCTCAGCGCCCCGCGGCTCTCGGTGTATCTTTGTGCGGGCTACACTTAGGGCCCGTTGAGGCTTTCATAGGGCTTGGGGTCAATGGCATGGAGCTTTGCAACCTGTCGGAATGTAGACCACCCCAGACTCTGCACAGCGCTGCAAGCCAACACTGCTGCCACCCCAAATCTAGCGTCGGTCGCATGAGGATCCTGCAATATTCAACCGTGATTTGCTGAAATCTACAAAGGCATCTGAACCATCAACCCGAGGCTTCCTTCTCATCTTACACTCCTGGTTAAGATCTCAACCGTGGGCTGCTGTACAAGCGATGCTCTTCCGCGTTCTCCAAGTTTTTGTTGGTAAATCCGCTGTCACTGCACCTTAACCCCTAAGCTTTGTTCAAACCCCCAAAGAACCTTCGAACTTCCAACCTATCGACAAAGACCGCCAGCCGCACCTCTCGCCAGTGCCGTGAGGCCTCTGCAAGAGACCGCAGGCCAGGTCCGGAGCCAGTAAACCGTAGTGCAAACACTGGTCCCTCGAAACCCTCTAGCCCGTAATAGACCGGCATGGTTTCAACACCCTTGCTTCGCCTTGGAGCTCAGATAACAAACACTCTGGTAAACCCTGCATCTAGCAGGTATTCATGGCTCTTGAGTCTTTCTCCCGGAGACGGAGTCATGTAAGCTCTAGGGAGGCCGTCAATACCTGAGCAGGTCTTACAACCTTGCCTGAAAGACTTGCAACACAAGAAGTCGTCAAGATCTATAGAATACCTCAACCCCGAACCCTGCGGCCTCAAACTCAACGCGTGGAGCCGTTTGTAATTTGATGCTTCTAAACAACAAGCAAAAGTCAATCCCGCCCTTTGACCCTACACAACTGCACGTGCAACCTACAAACTCCTGTCCGAACCTGCAAACACACTTTTGAAGCCGCGTTGAAAGAGACGGTGCCAAGCCCTGGGCCAGAGTTCAGCTGAGTTGTTCCCAGCTCCAGCTGATGACGTGCAGCAATCCTGGGCGTCTGTTAGGTTGAAGGGGCCAGCGGGTCTAAGGTCTAGGCGTCTGTGGTTTAAGGCTTACGGCTCAGAAGGTTTAGGAGTTTAGGGCAGCCCAGGCTCGGGACATCCAAACAAAGCACAACACGCAATGCCCCAAAGCAAAGCTCGAACTGCGGATTCAGATTCAACTTCCGAAACAAGCCTTCAACCCAATCTGAATCCTGCACCGGAAGTTTCAACACTAATGTCAACCCTCGATATTGAGAAGCAAGAAACAAGGATGTGTGTATCTGCATGTGTATGTAGATGTATGACGTAGATGCAGACACATAAGATTGATACCAAACCATAAACGATAAGCGTATATACAGGTGTAGAAAAAACACGCTAGAAACCCGCCCTATGGGTCTGCATCAGAAAGTCTGAAGGACGTCGATGGCGGACTTCCAGAGCAATCCCGCAGCCGTGGCGCCTTCAGACCAAGCTAAACCATGCTAAACCTACGGTTTGCGTCGCTTTGGATTGTGCGGATGTGGGTTTAAGCCTCAGGCTTGAGGCTTTAAGGATTCATGTTGCGGGGCATTTGGCAATGTAATTCATTAAGCCGGAAGGCCAAACTTTGTACAGATTGTGGGCCGCCTTGAGCTTTAGGATAAGTGGGGTTTCAGGGAAATATGCATAGTTAACATTTTCATGTCAAAGTTGACCGTCGTCGTTTCAGTTCAAGATGCGAAACCTGGAGAGTGGAAAGCAGAACGGAGGTGGTAACGTGCAGGAGATGTCTACGTCTACCTACGTCCCTAATCCTAGCAGTCCTAACAGCTCTGAGCGACACAAAATTCCAGCCCTGTATTCTTTGGATATCGCTAATCACGAAAAGCGAGTGAATGCAAAGGACCGGCTGTCAGCCGCCAGCCAAAGGTCGGAGAAATCCTGCAAACGCCATCAAACAGATAACATGAACATATTCTCCACCAGGGGAATGGAGAGCTGAAGCGGACACAGAAGTTCTATTTAGCGAACAATACGTGCGGACGATTATTGTTACCCGTCTTGGGGGGGAGCCAAAGACAAAAGCACATGTTTGCGGACTTTGGCCAAAATGGAAAATCAAATGACCTGGCGCACCTAAACGAGGCTTTCAATTTACAAGGAGAGAAATCCGCTGATGTCAGTGAGGAGACAGTCGAGCAGAGAAGATCATTCGGGGTGAGCGTGGTCTCCCGGCTTGCCTCTGGCGACTCTTGAGGCGATAATAGTAGGGATGTCTGAACAGGTGTGCGAAGCAAGAAGAAAGTGTAGATTGCAACAATATAGTAGCCCATGTTCATCAAGTGACTTCGGGAGGTGTCAGCTGTGCAAAACAAGTCGGCGGAGAGTCCCCTGAAATGCATGAGGACGCCATGCTGTACCGTTGGATCGATCTGTCAAGAAACTGCCAGTGAACACCAACAATCCGAACTACCAGGAGATAGGCTACATGATACCGATCTCGCCCCGTGAGCTGGGAGCGATAATGTCAATCAGATGGGGATTTTGCCCGAATATGTCAACCGACAATGACAAGATGTTGTGGAAGCATCCAAGCAAGTGGTCTGATGTTGTCTTTACAAATTTACTCTGACTAGCAGCTCACATGCCATGGCATTGAGCTCTGGGAGCGGAGCCACAAAAGAGCTGGCCACAATGTCTCGTGTCAAACGACTGGCCTTGAACCCTGAAGGCCCCGACACCTTCAATCCCTCCAAGGATTAGGTGCACGGCTTAGGGCTTCGGGTTTGGGACATGTGCACTGCAACTTCAATCCAGGCCTCACTAGACTCACTAAGACTTAACCCCGCGAAGAATCTGTTGTAAGCACCGACACACCGCAAAGCAGGCTTGCAAATTTCTCAACTAACTTTTATGAGCAATGCTAAACCCGAAACTCTAAACATCACGATGGTTCTCGGATCGTCGGCCACGGCACCTATGGCAGCCGTCAGAGCAGGAAGATCTGGACGCAAAGAGCTCACGCGGAGTTGGCGGAAGAAGCCCACAGCCTTTCTTGTGTTCGCTGTGCTATCATGACCTTGCGTGTCCAGTTTCCTGAAAGGGAACTCAATACGGGTTCGCCCCTGGGGTTCTTAAGATTAGGATTAGCCTACCCCGCAGAGGCTAAAGCTTACTTGCTTGATTACTTGGCTCTGGTTTAAGTTAAGTGATCAGTATCACACCCGGCATTCCTGCCTATAGGCCTATAGATCAGACAAGACTCTGAGGATGTCACCGGATGTCAAGTCGATCTGTGGTAACGTAGTTGCAGGACGGTGGGGTTGGAAGTTTCAGGATGTGTGCTGTCTTGGTGTCGTGTTCGCGGAATAACTCCCTGTATGATGAGCGTGATGCCTCCATATGTACAACCACAAGCAAACATCTACATAGAAATGGGATCTCCTGAAACACACGACAACGAAAACTCATGCAGCTGACGATCGAAAGATCAGGCCTGCAAGTGAGCTACGATTCACATCCTCCTGCTTAGGGCTTGCAAGGCTGTGGAACTGCACGATGTAAGCTTTGCAGGCGTTAGAAAGCGCGACCTCCCCAACTCCGAAGCCATGAACATTCAGATACTGAGCCCTAGTGGGAAACCGGTGTTTTGGGGCTGAAGGTTGAACAGAACTTTCTTGCAATACACCCCTTCAGACTGAAACTCCAAATCCTGAAGTTGCAGCACCTCTCTGTTTGGGGGCCTTGGGTCTTGCGGGATCACTTGTGCTACGTATGTGGGGTGCTACCCGCTACCGGAAGACGCAGGCCCGAAAGCTGCACAGCCTCAAGAGCAGAGGGCCGGACCAGCTCTCTGATACAGATCGAAGCCTGAATAAACTAGACTGGGGGTCTGGGGGCGTTTTTACTATTATAAAGTATATTGGGAAACCCCCAAGGACGAATATTGCACATTACTCCGATGAATGTACCGAACTCTAAACTCTAACCCGCCAGGCCCTCACCCTGGAACGTAGTTTTGACTTCAACTGGGCGAATGCGGAGGCCGCTACCCGATGCCACCGCCCTCCACGGTGTGCTGCACCTTTAACAGCAAAGGGAGATAATGCAGGAGTTTGGGTGTGGGATCAGTTTCAGGGTCCTAGTATAGCAGATTCCTTGCTGTATAGAGAATGCCGCAAGCAAGGTCGGAGTTTATTCAATTCGTCTGGTATTCTTACTAAAAGAAACGCAAATCACCTGTCCCTTCATCTTCTAAAGCCGTACAGAACCTGAAGTCCGAACACCCCCAAGCACCAGTCCCAAGCGCGGCTCTCATGTCTTGGGAACCCACATCCCTAGTGCTCGAGCCCGTGGTAGGCTTCGACATTTTAGGGCTTAGGGTTCTAGGGTTTAGGGTGCTGGGCCTTAGAGTTTTGGGTTTGCTAAAGGCTTAAGGGAGTTAGGGCTCAGGCTGGCAGAGCTTGAGTTGAGGGCTTGGGGTTTAAACGTCAAGGCAAGCAGGCCTGCAAACAAAGCTGAAACCTGACACCAAAGCCTGAATTCTGAAACCTGTGTCCAAGCCAAGCAGTGTGCGCATCGAAACACTCGAGGCCCCGACTCATTGCGGTGCTCAGTGCGATGACACTCAGCTCCACATGCCTTTACAGGGGTCTCTCACATGTTTATTAAGCACTGTACATTGTCCCTGTACATCTTGGGGGTGCGTGTCTGCACCCTTCGCCTCACACACATACATGCATTTCTAAATATACATATTATGTATGTGTATATGTATACGTATTTCTGTCGGGCGCAGAAGGGCTCCCAACAGGTTTGTGAGAATGCAAAGCACACATAGGAGGTACACTAGGACAGTGAGACAAGTTCAACAGTCATAGAGGATACATTTCCTTCAAGACCCCTAAACCCTTTTGAAACCGGACTTGGTGACTGCCAGCATTGCCTTCTCTGCCGTTTTTCGGCTGGGCAGACCCCTAAACCCTAAACCCTAAACTCTAAACCGTGGCTCCATTAGGCGCTGCAATGTGGCTCCCTGGGCCCAGAAATCGCCGGGGGCCTCAGCAGACGCGCCCATCTTCTCGAGGCCCTTGACGAAGTATTTCTTTGGTAGCATGCCTCGCTCCTGACAGCTTTGGGGTTAAGGAGCTTAGGGTTGAGGGGTTTAGGGGTTTAGGGTTTAGGGGTTTAGGGGTACCGGGTTTTAGTGTTTTGGGTTTAAAGCTTTTTTCCCTCCTACTTAGCAAGCACGAGCCCGCATGGCAGGCTACGTTCAGAACTGCGGCACTTGTGGAACCAGGCTCAGCCAGGAGCTTACGCTCTAGGGTTTTTTTAATTTTTGTCTTGCCTCCCATCTAGCTAGGACCAAGCCCACATTGCAGGGCACAGTCGAAGGCCAAACAGAATGAGTCAGATCTTGTGATTACAGACCAAACAAAGCCTGCTATACAAGTGACCAAGGTTTAGGGCCAGGGGTTTAGTAATTCCGAACCACTGCGCGTGCTACCAGAGAAGGCCTGTAGAGCAGTGACGACCCTGGAAACGGCAGTCGATACACTAATCGCCATGTCCAGTTTACACCCGGCGCGTGACCTCTACTAGCAGGGTGGATAAGGTCTTACAGGGCTTATGACTGCCGAATCACTCAAACAAGACTCTGAGACATATGCTGCGAAAGTCATGTCATTTTGGAGAGTAAGTTGCTGGAAGCTCGCCTTCCCAACTCCATGCTGGATGTCGCCCTGAGCATCCCTCGAATACAAGAAACCCAGGCCCAAGGCGAGCCTCGTCCGGCATCGACCAACCCGTCCGAGGCGGTTCGGCCACCTCAGAGAGGTCTGGATTCGGAATCCACACGTGGCTTTGAGGATGTATCCAGGTCGGATTGCAGGTTTTGTTTCGAGTTCAAGAACTCCGCTCCCAAAGCCGGCTCCCTGGCTTGCACATGTGCAGCACCCTCTGCATCGAGAGGTTTTTGAAAAGGCATCACCGTTGCCGTTGCCATCATCACCGTGACAGTGATGCTGGAGGGGAGTGAATAACCAGCCAGGGGTGCAAATGTTCATTTTGATGGCTGTGGTTGTGGTGATGGTGATCGAGACTGCTGTTGGCGCTGGGGGTGGTGGTGATGATGATGATGACAATCATCTGGTGGTGGTGGTGGTGAAGATGATGAGGATGATGCTGATGATGACGACGATGATGATGATGACTGGTGGTGATGATGATGGTGCTGGTGATGGTGGCGATGGCGGTGACGACGATGGCCATTTTACCATGGCGGAGATGAAGAAACTACTATTAAAGATTCTGCAAGTGGCCATGGTGATGATGCACACCTTATTGCGCCCATGAGCAACCCCGTCAAGAACATCAATAGGGCAACAGTACCCAGTACCATCACAATCTTCTTCTTTGCTTCTTGCAGGGTGCTCTCTGCGACACCAGCTCGGCCAACCTTGTTGCGCAAACAGTTAGCTTCTTGGGGTCCGGCTGAAGGCGATGCCTTCGCCGAGCAGTAGAAACAGTTAAACTGGTCCTGCGGTTCCAAGCCGTGCACATGGCCGATGCGTGCAGATCAGACTTGCTCGCGGCTAATACTAGACCGCCTAGTGCAGGAGTGGTTCTGAGGCTTCATGGGCATTTAGCCGTCTGTCCAGTCGGTACCAGGCGTGCATCTCATCTTTGCTTGCCACATGAGTGTGCAGCAGCTGCTGCTGCCGCAGCACTAGATGGTTTTGCGGGGCTTTCGGCAAACACTTGACAGTGTACGTCCACGTAGAGCCTGCACCTCAAGCACCATATTGAGCAATCGCTGTACAATGCTCACCCAAACCCGCGCAACGCTAATGCACATGCCATTACGACCAGCAGTGGTCAGTTCTGAAAACGACCTTTGCATCCGAAACGTCTTGCATCCGACACGTCGCACCGCGTGTTCGGTTAGTATGTCCCTCAGGGTATCTCAGGGTCCATCTTACACCCTTCGCCCAAAAGCCTCCCAGAAGATCACGGCAACCACAATGAGGATACAAGCCATGCGGAGGAGAAGCACGAAGAGTCCCCTAAGCCTTTGGACCCTTAAGCTCCGACCTTAAACCATCTTAAGCCCAAGCCCTAATGCCGCACAGAGATGCCCAACCTTCTGAAATCGGGCAGATGCCTCCTCCTTGGTTGCCTTCAGAGCCATCCTCAGGGCTGTGAAGGGTTGCCGGGTCTGGGCAGCTGCCTATTTTGTAATGTCAGGGCATAAAGCATGCCTTGGTTTGATACTAAAAAAGGTCCCAAACTGCGGTTCTAATTTCTAGATCCTCCCGGAGATCTGAAGGTGAGAGCTTAGGAGTTGGGAGAGTCGGGTTAGGCGCATGCAATCCTTGGGCTTTGAAAGTCCGTATAAAGGGCATGCCAGTCTTTCTCACCTCCTGGAGCGGCACTTCTCGGAATAAATTGAAGCATTCGAGGGATTGAAAACGGTTATTCCGTCTGTTGTGTTGCGTCCACGCGTGAGGAGACGTGCTTGAGGTCTTGGACCTTTGAACCTTGGCATGCTTGTCTACCCTTCGGCCAAGGCACCGCCACTCGCTCGCTTTCTTGCAGTAGAAGATGACGCTGTCATTTCCACTGCGGTAGAGGGGCCTCACAGGTGCAACCTGACCTATTCCCCAAACATATAAACAAGAGGAACAATTCAAAAACCAATGACAACAGTCACAATCAGTCATAGAAGCATGATTTTGCAACTCTGTTTTGTCGGGGAGCCGGCAGGTTAAACTCTCAGCGTTCCAACTCAACACAACACTGTTGGCAAACGCGACTGATCGTCTTCATTGGCGTCTATCGTACTGCAATTCCTGATCTAGACCTAGCCGTAGTGCCATCAATTTCGTTTTCGTCTCGGTCATCATCAGCAGCAGCAGCATTGTCGAAACAGGCCGGCCAGGCGCGGAAAAAAGAAGCACAAAAAGGATATGATGAGAGTCTGCTCGACGTGGCAGACAAGACCCTGACGTTTCTGCACTACATCTGAATGCCCTGCCCGAGAGCTTCGGCAGGAAGCCCTAAACTTTCAAGAACCCACATTCCAAACTGTGCCGGCAGCTATACACTAAACAAAACTGTACTTATTACTACCCCCAAGAATGCCTGCACATCCCTTAACATCCGATGCCCAACCCTATGAATTGCAGCCAAGTCACATGTTATCACGGGCGCCGACACGCTTGTAGGCGCCTCAAAATCTTCCAGCGGCTCGCCGATTCCCAAAATGATGCAGACGTCTATCATGGGCTGCATGTACTGTGCAGAACTCAGATATTCGTGCTTGGATATGATATGCACTAATAGTGCATGATGTGTGCCTGCCTGTGCTGCAACAAAGACATGCACTTGGTCTGCCTTTACTGCATGTTTATGCTTCGGCTTGGCTCGTATGCGATTGACGCGTACTCGTAACTCTATGTAGGGCTACTTTCCTACCGATCGGCCGACGCACGCTTCCTGATAAGTACTCACGATGCAGAAACAACTTGCCAAGGATTAGCCGGCCAGCCAGTCCCAGCCCTCAACCGAAGCCAAAATTGTGCACATCGAAGGCTAAAGGCTCTTGCCCCCCTGATGCTTAGCTGCATGTGCTGGGGGCGCGGGCCATTGCAGACACTGGCTTTGGAGACACGGAGCCTCGTGGGTTTGCCGCATGTCGGGGCTTTCTGCTCCCCAAGTCTTCAGAAAGCAGGGTAGTACTTCAAGGTCACAGGCTGCGCAGGTCTTTGGACCTCCGAGCTACATGGCTCTGAACTGGCTTAAGCCTCCGAAGGCCACGAGGGCCGACAACAGCCCCTTTAAGGATTGACACTGGGCCATGCGACCCGAAGGATCGCTGCATCTTGTGCATGTCCCGGTACCTGAAAGCATTTGCACATTGGAAAAAAGCCCCCAAGGGCCCCAGTGCACATGACACCAAGTGGCTCCGGCTGTGTTTGCAGGTGGCAAGCCCCCAAAGGGCTTGAAGCCCAGTCTTCGGGCGCACTTCCGTGCAGCCACCAATCGCTGAACGTTTCGTTTCAAGCCTCGGGAAGGAAGCGCAGGCTTCAGCATTCTCGCTTTGGCCAAGTGGCGAAAAAAAAACAAAACTGTGCCGCGGCGCAAGTGACAGGGTGCTGTGGCCGCTGCTAGCTGAAAAGGCGTTTAAAACTCTTTCTGCATGAGGTCGTGGCCACGACTCTTTGCTGCCATGCACACCACCCTCCGAATCCGAAGAATCCAACTGGTCAACGTTCGCCCGGCAACTGTGCAGGACTGCCAGTGGTGATGTGACTGTGGCCGCGGCTGAGCTCACCATGGATCTGGACCTCCTTGTAGATGCTGAGCCTTGAGACTCGAGATTCGTGCGCGCGCGCCATGGGAGCAAGTTTGGGGCTCGGAAGTCGGCACGGACGGATCTCGGGCACGAACTAGCTACGCTAAGCTGCGAGCTATGGAGGGTGAGGGAAGCTCAAGGGCTTGGGCGGCTCAGCTCATGGCGTCTCCGAGTTTCCGATGTGCGGCACATCTATGCCTCCGGTTCAGCATTCATCAGCGACTAGTGGCTGGCAGAGAGAGGAGAGCG